GTTCACAAGAGGGCGAAGAGGCGGGCGATGAGGAAGAAACGAAGGAAGAGGAGATACAAGAGACATCCACACCACCATCTTCTTCTCCCACTCCACAGCGTTCCACACCTGAGGTCAGCCAACCACCCGAACCGGGCCCATCGGTGGGGCTGACCAAGAGTCTTTGAGATGGTGAGAAGGTTGAGAGTCCGAAACCGCCGGTAATTGCGTCGACAGGGTAATTGTCGTTTGGCGAAGTGTGCTCCAGATGCTAAAAGGGGCCACAGTTAATAAGATCTATTTACTTTTCTTTTATTACAGTCCGATAAGGCTAGTAAAAGAAAAGAAATGTTTTTTAGGGATATAAATTGGTCTTGTATGAGGATGGATCAAACTTGAACTATACTTTTCCTAATTCAGAGTTAATTAATAGCATCGGTTTGAGTGACTTATAAATTTTATAACCTCGGTAGGCCAGAAGTTGGTCAGAGTAGAAACAAGTTACTCTGTATCTTGTTGTCTTTCATATGAGTTAACTCTTTGAACATTCTATAGCCTGTAAAAGTGGCATAAATCTAGGCTAAAATTGACTTTTAAATGACAAATTAATAAGTTATATACAGGTTTTTTGCTGAAATTCGCCAAATTTGCAAGATAGATGCAATATATAATCATAATGTTTGGCACATAACATCAAGAGCAAAGTGGAATGGATAAGTTTAATTATTTATCTTTGAGCAGAGGAAGATTTAATGACTATTTGATAAGTCTCCTCTGCCCGATCACAGCAATGTCTGTACAACTTATTTGTGATTATTCATAGTAATTTAGTATGACCTTATCAAAACACCGGTGTTTCTAAGATGTGAGCTTCGCCGGAATTAGACCTATAGCATTTGACGGGAGGATTCTAAGTAAGCCTAGATAGAAAAGGTCGCTTAAAAGTGAATTTCAGTTCTCACAGCGTTTACTTGTAGCAAGAAAAGGAAGTGGAAATTCCTGAATGAGTTGCTTCTATGACAAAAAAACTGAGTGCTGAGCTTGTCAGACTGAAATTCACGAAATTTTTAAATAAAAATGATCTTTATATGCCAGGAATTGCGTTGTTGTGTTAAATACATTCCAGCTTTGACTTTAGAAAGACATTGTAAGAACATCCCTAGCTAAAAGTAAAACGATAAAAATAATAAGATTCTTCCATGAGCTAACTTTTAAAGGTATTTTGCTCACACATTGATGGAACATATTTTCACATTAAGTGTTCAGTTGAGTTAACTAGCAAAGTTTTTCACTTCTTTAAAAGCCTTTCCATTTAACCTATGTTGTTTTGCAGTCTTGATTTTGGCAAGTCCCTAGTCATATCAGTATAATATAAAGATTCTAAACTAGCCACTGATCTCTCCCTACCTTTATATGTAGATTAACTAGAATGCTCTCAAGCGTGACTACCAAAGTTAGCATGTAAATCAAAATTCCAAAATACCTTTCTTCAGTTAAATTATAATTGTGCATTTGCCTAGATTGACTTGAAATATTATGGAAAAAGTTTTATTTTTGTTGTACTGCTGAGCCGGGAATGTAGAAGTTTTTGACAGGCCTATAATGTATACATAACTATATGCTACCTAGACTCAATGGACATTTTTTATCAGAAAATATAAAAGTCGTAACGTCACTTGTTAATGGGCATTACTCGTTCGGTTTCACATAGTTATTAAATGGGAAATGAATGCAAAACTTGAATTTTGCCAAAATGTTCTTTGAATTTACTTGCCCTAATTTCGATTCACTTTCAATATATCCCGACTCTTGGCAGCACGAAAATAAGGTAAAATATATAAAATCTCCAAGCCTTTGAATTAACTTCAGCATATTATTATCTCTTACCGAGCATAATATGAGTCCAAGATTCATTAGAGCTGATGGTGCTTTCCTGACAAAATTATATAATTACTTGTACCACACATATTAATTGCTGAGACACCACATTCCTTTTGCAAGTTTAGTAATTTTTTATTAGTCTTACCTGATAGTGGCTAAATTGTTGGTTGCTATGTCATTAATTTGACTTTAAGGTGTTTCTAAATATCGGTATTGCTCTTGTTTGGCTTGAAATAATTTCCCTAATTCGCGCACAATTTTCGGACTCTTACTTACATTTGTTGATCATATTTGTTGGGTTCAAACATTTAATTGAGAAACACCCGTTTCGAAGACACTATCTCCATCACACATCTTGGCGACAAAATGAGAATGACGAATTTCATAAGCTCACTGGCAAAATGTTTGGAAAAATCTATTTGACACAGGAAACTTGCATTTTTGTCTCGTGTAAAGTTT